CCATACTATTAGGTTCTATGATATTTTATTGAGGCAGATTATCATACCTGTTAAATCTTGAGGATTGATTACATTCTCTTGTTGGACTTCTGGAATACTAGCTGATGTACACTGCCATAAAAAATTAAAATGAAAGAGTGAGATTGACCAAATCTCAGTTGTAAAAAGGTTTCCTGATAAATTGATAAAGTGTTTCAAAACTCAACTCATGTAACCGCATGCAATTTTTCAAGTGTTCTGAAACTTCTGATGGTATCACAAAATTTTTTATTAAATAAACACACAATAGGAATTCGAACTAACTTCTTCAATAGGTGCAGTCTATGAAATGATTTTTGATGTAATGAAAAAGAGAGATCCAAACCCCTCAACCTTCTCTCTATCCTCATCATAGCAGCCATCGTACTATTAGTGGTGACGTCTGAATGGAGGCAAACCGGTCTCCTTGCCTCCAGCATGGCTCCTTTCAATCTGTTTTCCACAAAACTGTAAACAGTGTTTTCTCTAAAATATAATTCTGATTATAATTCTCTACTGTTTGTGATCTTAAAACTTTTCATTTTGCAATCAACAATGATTTACTCAGGCAAAAATATCATCAATGCATACTAAAACTACCAGGTACAAGGCTGCTAGGTCACATTTGACGAAGTTACCAAGTGGAAAAGATGCTGTTATAATGGAGAAATCTAGCAGGCATCATCCTAGCCAAGTGATCAGTCAGGATCATCAAGAATGGGACAATTTGCTATTATGTGTTTCCTGATGTAACATGTGATGAATAAACAACACCACCTATATAGTAATCTTGCCAAAAAATGCTTAACCTGAATCTAATATTGAGGAAACATTTAAAAATGTTTGACTAGCCTGGACTCTTAAAATGTCAAGTTTACAAAAGAGGAAAAAGAGCAAGAGTACTACTCTAGATTTAAAAAGAGTAAGAAGAAATGGCAACTAAATGCAACAGAAGTGTTGACTGAAACTATTATTACATAATATTAAGTCAATGTTAGTATGGTAACATTGAGTGTGACAACAGTATTGTCATTTCTCTGTATGAGAACATCCTTGTTTTTATCAGATATAAACGAGTATTTGTGGGTGAAAGCTCACATCTGTAACTTGACTTTCAAGTGGTTTAGTTTTTAAAAAGTATCTAACTATAGAGATGGAGAGCAAGAGAGACAGAGACCAGGAGTGGAGAATATAAGCAAATGAGGCAAAATCCATGTAAAAGGTATATCAGAGTTCTATGTAAGATTCTTGCAACTTTTCCTCAAGTTTGAAATTATTTCAAAATAAAAAGCAAAAATAAAAAAAAGGTTAGGGGTGGGGGGAAATGCCATAACTTTGGATATAGTCCAAACACTTCAGTGAGTCATAAAAATTCCTTTTATGATCTGTCTCCAGGCTACCTATTTATATTTAACCAATTTCTTCATTTATATTCCACTCATACCTACTTGTAGTCCCTGAACATGTCATGTTGTTTCATATTTGTTCTTAATACATGTTCCTCTCTCTTTTAAAAAAAGTTATTAATGCCTGGGTCCTAGTCCCTTCAGAGACTGATTTCACTGAATTAATTGCATTAAGCACCACTCCTAGAGTCCTGTGAAACTTTTTTTAAATTAATTAATTTATTTTAATTAGTTTCAAGTATGTGAAACCCTCTTTTATAGCACCTATCAGACTGAGTTTAACCATTCATGCATTCATCTGTTTCTCACAACTTTGTATTCCATATCTCACAGTGTTGAACATGTAGTAATAACATCTCAACAAACACTTGCTGTGTACAAAACACTTCCTTTTTCAAAGCTTTTACAACAAAGCCAGGTATTGGCTAGTTTATTTCTATGCTCCAGAAACTAAAAACAAACTCAATAGAAATTCTATCACAGTACATTCTCACAAAGGCAAAACTATAGGAATGAAAAACAGATCCATGGTTGCCAGGGGTTGGGGGTGGGGAGAGGGGTGACTTAAAAGGGGCCCTGAAGAATTTTGGAGGTGATAGAACTGTTCATGTATTAGTTACATAACAGTATATGTTTGTCAAAACTTACAGAATGGTATACTAAGGAGGGCGAAGTTTACTCTTTATGTTATACCTTAATTTTTAAAAAATAAGGAACAAACCCCTAGTCACCACTTGTTATATTTGACATTCTTTTACCTCTGGCACATAAAGGGTAAGCACATTGTCTCCATTAGAGTCCTTTCTCAGGGGCTCTCCAATAGAACTCTCACCAAGACCCGTACCCAAACCAAGAGTGTGAGGCCTTGTCTCGGAGGAAACTGTTGGAGCCACTGACAATATCTGAACCTCTTGAGATCCTCTTTCTTGATCTTTCTTTCTGAAAAAGAAATTAGTATGTATTAGTTTTAGCCTGTATTTGAAATCAAGCGGACAACCACAGAATCAATGTTTAGAGCTAGGTACATCAAAGTTCATCTAAAGTTCAACTAGTTTAATTTTTTTTTAAGTTTTATGTTATATTTAATGCAACAGAACCCGTTTTTCTATCAAGTTCTTATAGCTTATGGTTATAGAAACTAAATAGAAACCAAAACCCAGAATTGCTTTCCTCTTTTACCTTTCAGTTAGGCTTGCTTCCTGCAAAGAAATACAGGTCTCTTCAATACCATGTACATATGCCAATCTGCTCCGCTCCGTATTCTCTGCTGTTGTAACTGATCCAGGGTTTTTATCTTCTAATTCTGTTGTTTCAGAAGCATTTTTTGTTTCTAAAATAAAAAACGCATTTAAAAAACGCATTTAAGATAATAGTACAGCTAAAATCTCCACGTTAGAAACACCTTCTCTCTTCAAAGATCACTATATAGTGCCTCTTCCAAATCTTTCTTAATCCAAAAAGCAAGCCTACTCACAGGGCAGAATGGTGGTCCTGGCCAGTGAGATTTCTGAATAGTAAAACAGATGATTAATGAATCCTGCACTGTACATGTTTCACTCTTGGCTGTCACTTTAAAGTGGTATCTCCACTTTATGGTAAAAGCAACATAATTAGCAACCCACATATAAAAAAAGTTTTAGAGGTGGGTACACATGAAGTCTGGCTAGTTCCACCTTGGGAAAAGTGTCAGGGAGGAGCTGGTCTACAAAGAATAATGTCAGGGGAAGAAAATGACTTCTATTTGGAAAAAGTAACTTGAGCCTAAATAATGAGAGAGCTTCTGGAGTACTGCTCAAACCAAAGTAGGTAACGAATTAACTAACTGAACCAAAGGCATTGCTGGTTGAAAGAAATCCCAGAAAACAAGAATCCCCAAACAGAGAAAAGAAGATGCTAACTATCCAGATCTTCTACACAGAGGGTTTAATACAATCTTGGTGAACACACTAAACATCAGTGAATTGTACACTTTAAAATGGGTGAATTGTCTTTGGGTGGTAAACACACAATAGAATGTTAAATTATAATGTACACTTGAAAATTATATAATTGTATTAACCAATGTTACCCCAATAAACAATTAAAATAAATAAATAATGAAATAAAATGGGTGAATTGTATGGTATGTGAATTATCTCAATAAAACTTATTTTTAAAAGTGCTGAACTGTTTACAGTATGCATATATTGTTTCTTTCTGAAAGGAATATACATGCATGTATATATATAAATATATAGATACACACACACAAATACCCTTAATTAGATGCTTATATGTATAATACATTTCTAGACGTCTACAACAAAAACTGTTAACAGCAGTTTATCACTAGAGGTAGGATTAGAGGGCTGAGAGGGAAGAAGTGACTTTTTAAAATTTCATGCCTTTTGGGTACTGTCTTATTTTTTGCCACATGCATGTATGCCTTTCTAAGAGATGTGTGCTTGAGTAATCATGTTTATCCACAGATACACAGAGAAAATTATCTATGAAAAGAAAGTCTGATCAAGTAAATATAGCAAAATGGTAGTAATCACTGAAACTAATTGGTAAATTTTTATAGGTATTTATTTTATAGCGCATTCTACTTTTCATATGTTTGAATTTTTTTAATAGTAAGTTAAAATAAGTTTAGCAACTGAATATTCCATTTGAAGTGCTAATGTACTTTCTTGTGTCAAAATAATTTTGTAACTTGCAAGGGAATAATAAAATTTACCTCTTTGAATTTCTACTTCTTCTTTAGTTACAAACAAACTGGGAACTTCCTGATGAGCATCAAAGCTGTTGGTCTCTAAAATCTTCCTAAGATTTGGCTTAGGCTTGGCAAATCTATTTCCCAAATTATTAGTCACTTCACAAGTTGTATTCCTGAAAATAGAGAGAATGAAAAAAGAGAAATTTGTCAACCTATAAGAATCCTTTCTCTCACACTGATTCATTCTGTCTAGCACTGACAAGAGTTATGTGTCACCACAGGTGCCATGCTGAGCTCATTTCTAAATGCTAAAATTACATAGTAGTAACTTTACTAAGTCTTGAGAAAGGAAGAGAATCTGGACCATGTTTGTAAAACAAAGACTACATTTACATAAAACTATTTCAATAAAACTTCAAAGACATACATATTGCATAATTTTAATATGCTAACCTTTAACTAAAATCAAAATTAGCCAATCATTACTTTACTTTAAAGGGTGAGAAATTAGCACTGCCTACTTTACATTTACATAAGCATTATTTAAAGCTATCAACTATGTTAATGGTTGGTTTAAATACATTAATTGAATACTGTAATTTATTTTTTTAGTAAAACTCAAAAGAAATAATAGTTTAATAAAGCAAAATAAACCTGGTTGATACAGTGTTTCCCTTTACTTTCTCCATTAAACCAATTTCTTCTTTAGTACTTTGCTCCTCCAATACAATCTTGTTTTCTTCTAATGATGGAGATGTACTACTGTCAAGCGAAGAAAGCTCCTGACCTTCATGAACAATTTTATAATTTACATCATCTGGGCTAAAAGGAATATGGCTTTTATCCTCTGAAGGAACATCAGGAAATACACATACTGCTACTGTAGAAAAAAATGGAAAATTAAAATTGACCAAATACAGATGTCCAAATAAAATAAATCTTTCAACATTCAGCCATTATAAAATTATATATTGTTTTTAAAGTTTGCTCTTTTTGGCTCCAAATTTAATTTTGTGATCTTATATTTCATGCCAACAATTTGACTTTATTCTAAGCTTAATAATTATTACTGATTGAAATTTTTCTGCTATTATAAGTAAAAATAAATCTTTTTGTTATTTTCAGTAACTACATAACCTCAAATGAATTTCAAGATAGGATCGCCTTCATTTACAGTTTTTAAGATCTAGAGGTTTGTGACAGGCTCCAATGCAATACTCTGCCATTGAGGAGGAGCCCCATAGAGAAGATAAATCAGAGTTTCCTAATAAATATATAGTTATAGGCCTGAAACTCTAACAGCTATAATAAATGGCAGGCCAATTCATCACTAGTCAAAATAATTAACAGAAATATACTTAACATAATTAGGCATTTAATAAAGTAGAAGTTACTTAGATAGTACAGACCGTAGTTTCTCTAGAAAATTAAAAATCTGGGTTGACACATCTTTTGGCTCAGTCCATACTAACAGTGCAGTCTAAACCAAATGATCTCAATGACTGCTATTGCCCCTTCAAACTGTATTTGTCATGTAATTGTGAAGACCATCCAAAGAGGCATGCTCCTTTGCTAAAGAGACATGTATAAAGTCATCAGTGATCAATGAGCTTAGTTAACCAATGATGTTTATGACAAAGGTAGAGGAGTCACTAGATTAACTATTCCACAAATACAAATTATTCTTTATAAAACAAGTACACTATCTTGAAATGGTGGCCACTACATCTAAAAGGGCTAAGTTGGATAAATCAACACACACACATTATCTTTTCTGGAAAAACAACAAAGTGATACCATCTTCAAATGTAAAAGGCATGTATTATTACTAAAATGTGGGTATAATTTCTTAAAAGTTAGATTTTAAAAGTTTCTTTTCCTGAGGACTTATCTTGCATTCTTACCATCACTCTGTTCTGAACTGATCTCTGATTGCAACACTAGATCTCCCATTGTAAGTAAAGTTATGGCAGCTTCTGTGCTTCCATCGTTGAGACCTTGTGAGAAAATATATTAACATTAAAACAGTAGAATGAATCTGGAAATTTAAGTTTGTTTACATAGAAAAGTTTTTTAATTCAAGTACTTATCCTTTTGTAACAAGTTTCAATATTCTCTGTACACAAATCCCTTACGAGGGTAATGTTTTGTTCAGCTTACATACTACGAATAAAGAAATAATGAACTCTTGGCTTTTATTCACTGAAAATGCCTCCATCCCATTTAAATAACTATCTTCAGAGAAAAACGCATCTATGTAGATCAGAGAAAAAAATACTTTATATTAAACATTTAATATAAAATACTTTATATTAAACATTTATTTTTAATTTTTGTCTTGATTCACTTTCTAAAGTAACATCCAGGAGGAGGTAGATGGGATAAAAGGGATCAAATATGTGGTGACAGAAAGAAACCTAACTATAGGCAGTGAACAATGCAATATATATATGACTTTCTGTTGAACTGTACACTTAAAATTTATTGGATTTCATTAACCAATGTCACCATAATAAAAATAAATAAAGAAATAATAAAATTGACAAAAAATAAAGTAACATTCCAAGAACCCACATTTCTCCTAGAGATCACATTAACAGCTCAATGTTTTTGTTCAACTCTCCAGCAAAATGACTCATTTACTAACTACCACCACTACTAAAACATCATGCAGTGTTAACCAAGCAGTTTTAACAGTGTCCAATTAACAGTTACCTGTTTCATCATGGGTATGTTCACCTGTGGTCATTTCCTAAAAAGAGTTGAAAAGCAATATATTACATATTTTCCCAAATACATATTCTGTAGCTCAAAAGGCACTGTTTTACAGGTCTTTCTATGCTTTTGATTACAATGAAGTGGAAACTGGTTTTTTCCCCCTTAATTTACAATTATTCATAAAATTTCATAAAGAACACAAATAATTTAAAGCCAAATTATTTTGTCTCTTGGTTCATTTTTTTACCTTTTCCTTATATTATATGCAAATTTTACCTCTGATCATATTGCAATGCATATACCATTGTTACTTTACTTCTGCACTTTCATAATTCAACTTTAGTCATATCTGCCACTAGTTCCAACCCAGTGTAAACCAAAGTCTAAAGACTACCACAAAGTTTTTATACTACTAAGAGGCTTAAAACTTAAATGAATTTTAGTAAATTAAGAAGTTACAGGATCAGTGTCTAGCCTGACAGCATGAGCTGACCCTCTCCCCACTGAAACTGGTAAAATTTATTAAAAAATAACTATTAAAGCTTCTGGAAACAGCCTTAAGAGCAAATGAAGAAGAAACATCTATTAAAAAAAAAACAATGAAAACTCGAGAACAAAGGTGAAAGTCTGTGGTATGTGAACTAACACTTCTCTCTTCCTCTTTCCTTCTAGCTCAGTGAGGCAGAGACTCCACCTCAAACAGCTACAACCAAGAAAACAGGGCCTCTTCTCCCTGTAGGTCCCAGCTGGAAGGCTTTCTTCCTAGGAGGACCAAGACTTCAGCTCCTGACACAAGAACTTGGTATTATATTCATAATAGATAACAGACCAATATCTATTATGAATATGAACACAAAAATCAATAAAATACTATCAAATCAAATCCAGCAACATATAATATCATAAACAAGTAGAATTTATCCCAGGGATCCAATTTTTTGGTTTAACATCCAAAATTTAAGCAATGTAATATATAATATCAATAAAAAAAAACAAAAATCACATGATTATCTCAACAGATACAGAAAAAGCATATGACAAATTCCGATACCCTTTCATGACAAAATAGTCACACAAACTAGAAACAGAATGGAACTTTTTTGATCTGATAAAGGGCATCTATGAAAAAAACCATAGCTAACATCAAACTTACATCAAGCTAATGTCAAGACTGAATGCTTTCCCCTAAGACCAGGAATGAGACAAGAATGTCCACTCTTGTCACTTGTATTAAACACTGTACTGGAAGGTCTAGCCAGGGCAATTAGGTGAGCAAATGAAATAAAGGATATTCAGACTGGAAAGTGTTACAAATGGAATTGTAACCCCTAGAAAGATATGTTGAAGTCTTAACCCCCAATGCCATGGGTCTTTGTCAACGTAATCAAATTAAGATGAAGCCTTATAGGATTAGGGTTGGCCCTAATCCAGTATGACTCATGTCCATATAAGAGGAAAAGAAACTAAGACATACAAACAGAGAGAACACCATGTGGCATTGGAGGCAAAGGTTGGAATTGTGCTGCCAAAAGCCAAGGAATGACAAGGACTGCCAGCAACTGCCCAAAGGTAAGAGAAAGGACTGGGATGGTTTCTTCCTCAAGCCTCCAGGAGGAGCCATCACTGATGGCACCTTGATTTTAGAATTCTGGCCTCCAGAAATGAGAGAATAACTTTCTGTGGTTTTAAGCCACCCAGCTTGTAGTACTTTGGTACAGCAGCCCTAGGAAACTTAACACACAAAAAAAAGCATAAGTATCTCTATTCACATACGCCATGAGCTTGTACGTAGAAAAACCTAAGGAATCCACTAAAAAGCTAATTAGTTCAGTTATCAGAACAAATAATTAAATTCAGCAAAGATGCAGTATATAATACAATTATACAAAATTCAATTATATTTCTATACACTTGTAAAACAATCCAAAAATGAAATTAAGAAAACAGTTCCATTCACAATAGCATCAAAATAACAACGTACTTGGAAATAAATATAATAAAGAAAGTGAAAGCCTTATAGTCTGAAAACTACAAAACATTGTTGGAAGAAATCAAAGATCTAAATAAATGGGAAAATATTCCATGTTCATGGATTGGAAGATTCAACAATAAGATGGCAATAGATACTCCCCCACCACCCCCCAAAAAAAACCTGACCTACAGATTCAGTAAAATACCAAACAGAATCCTAGTTGCCGTCTTTATAGAAATTGACAGATTGATTTCAAAATTCATATGGAATTGCAAGAGACTCACAATAACCAAAACAATTCTGTAAACAAGAATAAAGTAAGATGACTTGCACTTCCCAATTCCAAAACTTACTACAAAGTAACAGTAATCAAAAAAGCATCACCAGCACAAAGATATACACATGAATCAATGGAACAGAACTGAGAATCCAGAAATAAATACATACACCTACGGCCAACTGATTTTCAACAAGAATGCAAGACAATTCAATGGAGAAAGAATAGTCTTTTCAAAGGTGTGACAACTGGATAGTTATATGCAAAAGAATGAAGTAGGACTCTAACCTCAGAACATATATAAAAATTTACTTACAATGAATTGAAGACTTAAATGTAAAACTATCATTAAAACTACAAAACTTTTCTAAGAAAAATAGAAGTAAATTTTTAGGATCTTGACTTTGACAAAGAAGTCTTTGTATCAAGAAAATGGACAACCCACAGGATAGAAAAGTATTTGCAAATCATATATCTGAAAGGGACTTGTATCAGAATACAGTAGTCTCCTCTTAGCCACAATTTAACTTTCCATGGTTTCAGTTTCCTGTGGTCAACAGCAGTCCAAAAATATGAAATGGAATATTCTGGAAATAAACAATTCATAAGTTTTAAATTGCACACCATTCTGTGTTACATGATGAACTCTCAAGCTGTCTTGCGCTGACCTACCTAGCACATAAATCATCCTTTTGTATAGCATATCCACGCTGTACATACAGTACAATAAGCTATTCTGAAAGACACCACAAATAACTTTTATTATAGTATACTGCCATAATTGTCTTACTTTATTATTGTTGCTGTTAATCTCTTATTAGGCCAAATTTATAAATCAAACTTTATCATAGGTATGTACGTAAAGAAGAAAACATGGTATTTATAGGGTTTGGTAGTAATAATGGTTTCAGGCATCAAGTCGGGGAGGGGTTCTTGGAATGCATCCTCTGTGGATAACAGGGAACTACTGTATATAAAAAAAAAATTCATACAACTCAATAATAAAAAGACACACTCCAATAATTTTTTTTTAATTGGCAAAGGCTCTGAATAGAAATTTCTCCTAAGATTTAACCCATTTCCTGTTTGTCCCAAGAATGCTCGCCAGTGGCATTTGTGGCTGCAGCATTTACCCTGAAATAATTCGCGGATTAAAATCCTAATATTACCCCAAAAGTTTACCACAAAACATCTTGCTTTATTATTTTCTCATTGCTCTATTATATCAATAGTCTTTGGAAACAAATAACACTATTCTATTTATAGCATTCTAGTTTTAGTAGTGGTATTTCCATTTACAAAATAGAGTAATCCTCGACTGCTAAAAATGTCAAATCCTGGATGTTCTGCTTTCTGTTGTTCCATGCTGTGAAATTTACCACATAAAGATAAATTATTAAATACAGATCATCATATATATTTGTTACACTAGGATTAGAGACAAGTTCTGTTTAGGAATTACTCCAAAAACAGTTTTTATATTTTATTTTCACACTGAAAACCATAAGATTTGCTTCAGCCTCAAAGAGTGTGTTTATGTAAAATTAACGCTTGCAGCGAGCTGCACTTTTTTAATAAATGGGTTAAAAATGGCCAATAAGTACATGAAAAGATGCTTGACATCATTAATCATTAGGAAATGCAAAGCAAAACCATAATGAGGTACCTTTTCACATCCACTAAGATGGTCAGATCCAAAAAGTCAAAAAACAAATGTTGGCATATGAAGAAACTGGAACCCTCTCATACACTGCTGGTAGGAATGTAAAATGCTGTAGTAGCTTTTGAAAAGTTTACTAGTTTCTCAAATGATTAAACACAGAGTCATCATATGACACAGCAATTGCACTCCTAGGAATGTACCCAAGAGAAATGAAAATATATGTCCGTACAGAAACTTGTATACGAATGTTTATAGTAGCATCAAGTATAATAGCCAAAAGATGGAAACAACCTAAATGCCCGTGAACAGGTGAACAAAATGTGGTCTATCCATATTTACTATTATTTAATCACAAAATAGAATGAAGTACTGATATATGCCACATGTTGAACCTTGAAAACATTATGCTAAAAGAAGGCAGACACAAAAGACCACATCACTTGAGTCCATTTAGATTAAATGTCCAGAATAGACAAATCTATAAAGACAGAAAGTAGACTATTGGTTGGCTAGGCATGGAGAGGGTTAGAAGGGAATTCGGAACAACAGCTGAACTGCTAATGGGCATGTTTCTTTTTGAGGTAATAAAAAGAACTGTGATGATGTTTGCACATATCTGTAAATATACTAAAAAACCATTTCATTGTACACTTTTAATGCATGAATTTTAAGGTGTGTGAATTGTATCTTAATAAAGCTATTCTAAAAATGTAATTCCATGTCATTTGTAAAAATAAATATCAACCAAATTAGAAAGAATGTCAAGTAAAATATAACTAAATATATTCCAAATAATTTATATTAGTTAATGCAACAGAATTTTAACATGTCCCTGAGGATAAAGACACACACACACACACACACACACACACACACACACATACACACACATCAATTCTTTTCAAACCAAATATAAAACCTATGTATTATTCACTAGTTTCTATTATTCACACTTACAGCTTCTGACATGATAGAAATTAGCTGACAACTGCTTGTTAACCTAAAGCTTTCAAATTAAACTTCATCTTTTTAAACTAAGCAAAAAATTAAATCTAGAACATATATACAGGAGGTTATTTCTGGGCTCTCAATTCGGTTCCATTTGTCTGTGTCTGTTTTTCTACCAATACCATGCTATTTTGATAATTATTGCTTTGTAGTATAATTTGAAGTCAGGCAGTGTGATACCTCCAGTCTTGTTCTTTTTTCTCAGGATTGCTTTGGCTATTTAGGGTCTTTTGTGATTCCACACAACTCTGATTTTGTTGTTGTTTTTCTATTTCTTTAAAAAATTCCATTGGGATTTTGATGGAGACTGCATTAAATCCACATATTGCTTCAGGTAATATGGCTATTTTAACTACTATGTTCAGTCTTCCATGAACATAGATATCTTTCCATTTCTTTGTGTGTTTTTCAATTTCTTTTAAGGTTTTCAGTATATAGGTCCTTCACAGGCCTCGTTAAGTTTATTCCTAGGTATTTTATTCTTTTTGTTGCAATTCAAAAATAATTGTTTTCATTTTTCTGGAATTCCATTGTTAGTGTATAGGAATGCTATGGATTTTTGTATGTTGATTTTGTATCCTACAACTTTACTGTATTTATTGTTTCTAATAGTTTTTTGGTGGAGTCTTAGGGTTTTCTATATAGAGAATCATGTCGACTTTTTCATTTCCAATTTGGATACCTTTTATTTATCTTGCCTGATGCTCTAAGCTAGGACTTCTAACATGATATTGAATAAGAGTGGTGAGAGTGGACAACCTTGTCTTGCTCCTGATCTTAGAGGGAAGGTTTCTAGTTTTTCACTATTAAGTACAATATCAGCTGAGGGTTTGTCGTATACAGCCTTTATTATGTTGAGGTACTTTCCTTCTATACACATTAAGTGTTTTAATCATAAATAGAGGCTATATCTTGTCAAATGCTTTTTCTGCATCTATTGATACATGATTTTTACCCTTTATTTTCTGTATTTGGTGTATCACATTAATTGATTTGTGTATGTTGGACCATCCTTGTGCCTCTGGAACAAACTCCACTTGACTGTGATGTATAATCTTTTTAATGTATTGTTGTATTCAATTTACTAGTATTTTGTTTAGGATTTTTGCAACTGTATTCATCAGAGATATTGGTCTATGGTTTTCTTTTTTGTGTGTTATCCTTAGCAGGTTTTGGGTTTAAGGTAATGTTGGCCTCTTAAAATGAGTTAGGAGTATTGTCTCTTTTTCAATTTTTTGGAAGACTTTAAGAACAGGTATTAAATCATCTTTGAATGTTTGGCAGAGTTCACTAGTAAAGCCATCTAGTCCTGTACTTTTACTTTTTGGGAGGTTTTTGATGGCTGTTTCAATTTCCCTACTGTTGATCAGTCTATTTAGACTTTCCAGTTCCTCATGATTCAGTCTAGGAAGGATATATATTTCTAAGAACTTGTCCACTGTAAGAATGGCTATTATCAACAAAACAAGTAATAACAAGTGTTGGAGAGGTTGTGGGCAAAAAGGAACCTTCATCCACTGCTGGTGGGAATGTAAATTGGTACAGTCACTATGGAAAACAGTATGGAGGTTCCTCAAAAAATTACGAATAGAATTACCATATGACCCAGCAATCCCTCTTCCAGATATCCACCTACAAAATTTGAAAACATTTATTTGGAAAGATATATAAACCCTCTTGTGTCCACTGCAGCATTATTCATGGTTGCTAAGACATGGAAACCGAAATGCCCTTCAACAGATGAGTGGATAAAAAAAAGATGTAGTATATCTATACAACAAAATATTACTCAGCCATAAGAAAAGATGAAATACTGCCATTTGCAACAATATGGATGGATCCTGAGATTCTCTTGCTAAGCAAAATAAGTCAGAGAGAAAAAGTTGAGAACAATATGATTTCACTTATATGTAGTATATAAAACTGAAAGCAACAAATTAACAAGACAAACAGAGACTCATGAACACAGATAACAGTTTTAGTGGTTACCAGAGGGAAAGGGGGGAGGGGGAAGTTAGATAAGGGTAAAGGGAGCCAACTATATGGTGATGAAAGGAAATTGAACTTTGGGTGGTGAACACACAGTGCAATATACATATGATGTATTATTGAATTGTATACTTGAAACCTATAATTTTATTAACCAATGTCACCCTCAAATTTAATTTAAAAGAAAAAAGAAAAAAAAAAAAGAATACCAAACAACAGCAAAGATCCATTTATTTTTTAAAAAATTAAAATGGATACTTACAACTGATAATGCATTCAAATTTTCTTCTTGTTTCATTTCCTGAGTGGTCACATCTGTGTTTAAGAACTGATGTTCATCAACAGTTATGAATCCTATATCTGGGACATTCACAGTTATTTCAAGCTGTCAAAATAAGAAATTTCATTTCATTTTGGCATACTACATACAGCAAAACAAGTAAAACAAAATGTTCAACTGAAGAAATAATCCACATTCATACATGATTGAAAAACTGAAATATAGTCATTCTTAAACTGATTTGACATCGACTTGGCAAAAGTAAAACATTTAAAGTTTTTCAAGGATCTGTGATTCTTATAACCAGTAAGCAAAATTTCCAAGGCTAATATTCCTAGTACCTAGCATTTCACTTTCCATCATTCACACTTTTATCCTTACTTTCCCATAATTTCTCTTATCAGTCTGTTAACATTCATGGAGTACTTCTTAAAAACTAAAGGGCTACAGGTTCAAGGATACAAAGCTAAATAAGACAAATTTGGTCCGTACCCTCAAGGGACTCACAATCTAAGAAAAAGAGATATATAATCAACTAACTATACATTGTCCTAAGTACTATAATAGAGATGACTTAAAAACATTTAAACAGATTACATGTACACCCCCACCACGGCCAGGGAAATTGTTCTGTAATTAGTGGTCCTCATTAAAATTGATTGGAGTGAGATTTCAACGTATTTCCACTCTACATGGACTGTGTTTTCTCAGTTTGCATGAAGTCCAGAAGAGAAAAAAAAAAAAGAAGACATTATATTGATACTTGATGCCAATCACATCTTTTTAAATCTTTTCTCCTTTAATTTAAAAATTACTGTTATTTTGAAAATTGTCCCTTTATTCCTGGATTCTATACTTGTTGTTCACAGAGAAAAATACTGACTTTCATTGATCAAGGGAAGAAATATTTCTAGAGGGTGGCCAGGCTGGGACATGACACCTACTGTTGATTATTTTAAATTAGAACTGTTATAGCTAAGCAGTACATAAGAGAATACAGAATGCCGAATGTGTAGTTGTTTTATTCTTTGACTTTCTATTTCTGTTACTTCTTTTTTAAGTTGGTTCACTGAGCACCATACAGTTTCAAAGCTTTATTTTTAAACAGCATTACTGAGACAGAATTTACATATCATAAAATTCACTCGTTTAAAGTATGCAATTCAATGCTTTTTGGATTATGCACAAATATGTACAACCATCACCAGACACTTTTAGAACATTTTTATCACTTCAAAAGATGACACTCATACCCATTAGTTACACACCTTCAACCCTTCATCTCCAAATCCCTGAGCAACCACTAATTTACTTTCTATCTCCAGAGATTGTCTTATTTTGGTCATTTCATATGAATGGAATCACATAATATGTGATTTTTCCTAACTGGCTTCTTTCACTTAGCACAATGTTTTCAAGGTTTCAAGGTGATATTGTAGTATGTATCAATAATTTATATCCCTTTATCATTTAATAATATACCATTGTATTTCAATGCTTTTTAAAGGGAACATTTTCTAACATATAAACAATTTCTCTGCCTTAGTACTCTGGCTGTAAGAAATATAATTTAAGCTTTCCTTACTCAATTATTATAATTAACGTTATTTAAGAAGACATTTTGTTAATTCAGGGATAAATCCTGAAACCTGATTTTCAGAAAATTCTGATATTAGTTTTCACTAGTAATTTGCCTTTCACCCAAAGAAATGTGTAAAGTACAAGACACATAGCTAAATGAACTCACATGCTTTTTAATTTTAACTAAAACTTATATTCACTATAATTACTTTGAAATTTTGGTTACAAGAAACAACTTCATTTTGCATCATGTTTATGTAACTTCAACACTTCTAAATCATTAATTTTACAATATCTAGCATGTTGTTAACAGTGAATAACTAAGGGTGAGTACAGCCAGTCATTCATAAATGTGAATTTACAGATTCAGTAATCCATTAATTCTGGATTAACTTGATATTACTTAAATTGTTTTATGTTTTCTACTTATTTTATTATTATCATCAATACCATCTCAGTTAACCCTTAATTCTATTTCAAATGACTCAGAAACTATTATGAAGTTTGTAGTAAAAACTGATTATACTACTCTATAAACCAACTAAATTACTGAAAACTGATGGAGAGCAGACAACTTTGAAGTTACAAAGTTGGAATACTAGACCAAGAGGCAAAAGAGTAAGAAGTTTTATAATAAAGTAAGTTGAAGTAATATGTTCCTCTACCTCACATCCATTAGGATGGCTAGTATCTAAAAAAAAGAAAAAGAAAAAGAAAAAAAAAAGAAAGAAAATAACAAGTGTGGGTGAGGATGTGAAAAAATTAGAACCCCTGTACACACTATTGATGGCAATGTACACTGCAGCTGATAATGGGAAACAGTATGGTAGTTATAAAAAAAAAATTAAAAATAGATTTATAATTTACCATATGACCCAGCAATGCCACTTCTAAGTATACCCCCCAAAAAAATAAAAACAGGAGTTAGAAGAGGTATTTGTACACCCATGTTCACAGCAACATTCTTTCCAATAGCCAAAAGGTGGCAGCAACCCAACTGCCTATTGACAAAATAAACAAAATGTAGTATGTATACACAATGTAATATTATTCGGCCTTTAAAAAGGACATTCTGACACATGCGACAATACAGATTAACCTTGAAAACATTATGCGAAGTAAAATAAACCAGTCACAAAAAGGACATATACTATATAATTCTATTTATATGGGGTACCTAGAGTAAAGTCATAGAGACAAAAGTAGAATGGTGGTTGCACAGGCTAGAGAGGAGGGGATAATGGGTAGAGTTTTTGTTTTGCAAAATGAAGAAAGTTTTATGGAGGGATGGTGATGATGACATAACACAACAATATGAATGTACTAAATGCCACTGAACTACACACTTAAATATGGTTGATAGTATATTTTGTTATGTATGTTTCACCATAATTTTTTAATGTCCCTTCTACCTTCTCTACCAACCAGAGATCAACTTCGGCCTACCACAAAGTTACTAGAAAACACCTGCCATTTTTTTTCTAATTGATCAGAAAGTAGACTAAGCAGCCTCCAGATACAAGTGAAGTCAGATTTCTATCATTATCGTTATACCAATCACCTTGTGCTGGGTATGGGCCATATGCGCTAAGTCATTACAGTAGATCACACAAGCCTACTTCTACTGGTTCCTTAGGCTATCCACCAGGCCCCAAACAAATTACATTTGGTAGAGTTTATTTAGAAAATGAACTCTACAAATCCTAATAATTACCAAAAGGAGAATAAATGATCCACTAAAAGAAAAGTCAAGATAAAGTTCTGAACATTTAAAAAACAAACTACCTCTTCCATAGTTTCCTCGATCTGAGCAGAAACAGGTTCAGGAGACCTGAGACCCACAGGTACAAACACTGGAGCTTTGTTTACTTCTTCTGGAGCAAGATGATAGCTTTCTTCTTCATAGTCAGACTCAAAATCTTCAGCATCATCTTCGTCCTCTTCCTGTGAAGCCCGAAGCGTTACCAGGATGGCCTTGGAAGCTCTAGGTTCCTTCTTAGAAGTCTTACTCCGAATTCGTTTGGATCCACGCCCTTTGGTGACATTCGGTTTGATCTTTCGATACATTCTCCTTTCACTATGATCTATCTCACACCCAGGGGCAGAAGAGATAGCTGTTCTTCGACTCAGAGCAATTTTAGAGTAATGTGATTCTTTTAACAGTTGTGTACAGCTGGATGTTTAATCAAAATAACAATACAGTCACTACATGCACAAAGATATTTTTAATGAAAACTAAACTTTCAGAGTGAAGTTTAGTTTTAAAGTCAAGCCATTAAAACAAAAACTCCCACCACTCATTCTGTCAAAAACTTACACTATGAAGAAAAGATAGGAACTTACTATCAGTTTCTCATTCAGAGCTAATTCTTAGTTATCTAGCTACAAATTTTCTATACCAAATTTTTATTTCTGGGTCACTCTTCCCCTTATTATTTAAATGGAAATGAAATACAGGACTGGAAATTATCCAAAGAAAAAGGGCTAAAGGACAATGGGCCAATAAATACAGAATATGGAGTCAAAAAGTGATACTGATTTATTCTACTGGGTAGTATAACTAGGATAAAAAACGGGAAGTGGTGGGGGCAGGCAGAAAATCCATCAGAACAGTTATTTTTTAGAACTTCGGTTCCCTTTCGCTTTCCTTGAAAACTATGGAAGAAGGGTACCCTTCACTTGTGTTTGTGACCCCATGTGAATCAGCACCCTAATTATTTAGGCACTACATACTACTCTTTTGTCAGGCTTCTGCTCATGTCTAATATACTGAGCACTCAGAAATTTTAAATACAGAGAAAAATAATATTCCTAAGATAAAAAAATTAATTTTAGTAAATAAAAATCAAAAATGGGAAAGAAACCTGTCAATAAAAAACAATCTATACAAGCCATCTTTTATGCTATCCACAAATTAAGGTAAGACATCCAAAAAGAGTAAGTTTTTATTTCCTAAAGTATTTGTTACATAAACCTTTACCTTGCTAGTTTACTGAGATACTGCTCTTCAGCAACTGAAGACACAGAATTATCCCCTACAGTCTTCTGTCCAACACTTGCTGATGGTCCAACTTCTGACTGAGCACCTTTTTTGGCCAAACCAGGTTCTTTGGAACCTACAAAATCTTTTCTTGCTGAAACCTCAGTAGATGTCAGAAGGTCATCTTTTTCCTTAAATTTAAGAAGAAACAGCTAATATTACCATGGAAACAACCTCTATAGTAATTCAAATTGGCCATTTCACGATCATTTAAACATTCACACACACACACACACACACACACACACACACACACACACACACACGGTTTCTAAAGTTCTATAATACTGGAAAGTCACTAAATTTTCAGTAATAATACAAAATAATAAATAGCAATAATACAAAAGCAAAACTATATAAAAACTACATGTTTTTTAATGCTCTCCTTCATAATCCTGACAAAATACAGCCCACTGATAAAAATTATATTTTTCAAACTTACTTTATGAAGGAGCTGGGTGTCAGAATCTTCTTTCTGCAGCAAAGTATCTTCTGGCTTCCTTGCCTCGCTCTGATCTATTCCGTCTTTTTCTATACCTGATTCTGCTTTTTTACCATGTGCTCTTCTCAAATTTGGATCAGCTTTTTGGAACTGCCTTTGGAATTGTGCTGGACTAGGAACACACATTTTATGTTCATGTCTAGAATGAAGTATAAATCATGCAGAGAACAAAATTCATAATTCCTTCTTAATGTAACAGCTGTTAAATCAAATAATTTTTGACACAAACCAATTCTATGTTCAAAGGACTACATATAAATTGGCTATAAAACCAAGCATATAAAATGAAACCACAAACGCTGATATGAAAGGAAAAACATAAAAGCTTTTATAATTTCCAATTTCTGTACAGCCTGGGGAATAGTTTTACAATAATGTTTTTTTACTTTTATTCATTTATTCTGGTTTGTAGTTTCATTCTATTTTAAGTAATTTTCAGAGTAATAACTAGAAACAAACAAACAAAATGCCAGCAGTTGGAAAATGGATTTCCTAATGGCACTCTAAACAAATGCTTCAACTGGGCTCTGAAGCATGAACAAAATATACAATGGTCACAACAAGCATAGTCCTACTGGTTCAAGAGCAGGGTTTACTGACAGCCAGTGTAATAAGGATTTCAGTATAGCCCATGTAGAGCTGCAAAATCAAAGACAACGTTTTAACATTCAAGAGAACAGCCACAGCCTCCAAGGCAACCTAAACAGCTGTGTTAAGATTTCTTGGAAAGAATAATCAACAAAGATCTGAATTCTGAATTAGGAAGTTTATAACTAATAGAAACCTAGATATTTATGAAGAATAACTGGGTATATAAGTATCATGAGTTCTCTGAAAGATCTGTACTAAAGACTAATATTAAGTAATATTTCTAATAAATTATCCAGAAGAGAAAGTACTTAGTTACTAGTTACATTTTCAAATATTCCAACCTGACTAAGCTATTCTGGCAGTGAAACAAGGAAGTTCACAGAAGTTCCAACAAGGTTATGATGCAAATTAATAGATGCCAGCGTAGGCTAACATATGGGAAAACATTATATTTAAGTAGAAGCTATTTACAATCAAGTGTGATTCTACAAAGGTATTAAAGAATAAAATATATTCTTAAGCCACAATGTGCTACTGAAGTCAAAAGGGGCAAGAAAATGCTGAATATAAGAGTAAGCTAACTTAAAAACTATACAAAACATATATATACTCTAAAGAAAGTATCAGTCATGATATAGCTAACAGGAATAAACGTCATAAACAGAAAAGGTTAAAAAACGGGTGAGGTGTGTTTCCATGTATTAAAGTTAGATCTCTCTTCCTAAAAAATGCAAAGGCTGAGCATAAAATCGTTTGACATACGTAAAATTTCTTTCGGAAGCTCTGCCTATATAACTATAGGAATCTGCTAGTCTGAAGATCATAAATCCTGAAAACTTAAGTTTAAAATACTAAATTGCTGGACATAGTTCCATAGTGTAGCAGTTAGCACATCTCCTTTACACACAGAAGGTCCTGGGTTCACGCCCCAGTGGAGCCATGGTCCATGGTCTACAGTCATGCCACCCTGAACAAGCCCGATGTCCAAACATGGATGGGTGACCACCTAGGAAGCCAGGTGCTGTTGGCATAAATAATAATAAATAACAAATAAAATAAAATGCTAAAATGCCAATGTCACTCTGAGCAAGCCATTTAAATCCTCTAGGTCTATTTAGTCAATTATAGATGAGGGCATTACGAAAGGCTGGCCTCGAAGGTCACACTAGTCTTTAAAGGCTCACTGAGAGTAAAAACCAAAATCCTTGTAAAGGTCCTACATAATCTGCCCTTCTCCCTACTCAGCCTTTAACCTTTCCTTCATCTACTACTCTTCCTTCCTTGTTCCCTCTTCCCCCAGACATCCCCTTGTCTTGTTCCTTCACTTCTTTTATATCTTCTCCCTAGTAGTACCCTTTCAATGAACCATTCTCTCATTAAAAAGTAAATACCAGTAAGTAGAGCACAGAGTATTTTTAGGGCAGTAAAAAAAAAAAGTAAATACCCAAACATGATACTCCCTACTCTCCCACTTGCTTTATTCTTCTCAACATATTACTGATTTATTCAACTTATTTGTTTATAATCTGTTTCACCAATTAGAATATAACCTCCACAAGGACAAGATTTTTTGTTTTTTTCTATATTGTACTATATTGACAACACCAAGAACAATGCCTGGCACATAGGAAACACTAAAACGTTTGTTAAACGAATGACTACATAAGGTTCTTTTTGGTGGCAAAAATATGTAATTCTGTAAGGCCAAAAAGAGATTATATTCTAAATGCACAATAAATCCATAAATAGTAATTGGGAAAAGCCAGAGAGATGGAAATATGTTCACCTTTCATGTTTGGGATTAATGCCTCAGAAAGTGTTCTCTGGAATCATTTTTAGAGATGAATTAGTCAATGGAATCAATCATCGATCTAATCCAATACAGCATTTGTAATACAAACATATCTATAATGATTCTAGTGAAAATATTTCTAAGTACCAATCACTTTACTTAAACATCCAGTTTAAAGAAATGAAGAAATGGCTTAGTAAGGAAACCTGAAATTAGTGTAAAGAAAAATTGGGCCTTAGTTTTAAAATAAAAACAATATGAAAGGCTTTTCAACACACACACACAGAAACAAATGAAATGAGAAATTCAAACTAAAACAATAACCTGGTTACAAAGACAGTGTAGTAAATTAGATGAACCATGGACTATATCCAGAAAAAAAGAGGTGTTTTTTTTAATCTGCCTTATATTATTAAAAAAGAACCTATCACATCTTGCTTTAATATCAGTAACAATAAAGCAGATTGCAAGTAATAAAAATGGTAATGCTGATATACCTTCACTCTTTTAGCATATCCCATTTAAAAGATATCATTCCTACCATTTGGTTTGGGACACAGCTCCAAATATAGCATATAGTAAGTACTTCACAGCAATTCCTATTTATAAATTTTAGTCAATAGGTTATAAATTTCTAAAGATATGAAGAACTTATGAACCTCTGTCACCATAAAAGTTTAGTTTTAAAATAAAAATGAGGATAGGATGCTTGCTAAACTTTTCAGAAAATTTACAAATTAAGAGATCAGTCATGCAATTCATACAGTATTTGAAGAAGCAGATTTAAAATAGTTTAGTAATTACTTTATCCTTTCATAAAATTTTCAAGATGTAAAGTTATATAAAATTAATTATGTAAAAACCCAACCTTTATCTTTGGGAAGTTTAATGCTATTCTGTTTTAAAAGCAAACTCACTTTATTCGAAACTAATATAAAATAATATTGAATGTGAACTCTAATTGAAAAATAAAAATTAAAATAAAAAATAAGAAAATTTTTAAAAACAAAAGCAAACTCACCTCATCTTTTCATCTAACACATTAATTTTGTTAACATGAAGGTCTTCTATAAGAAACACGTCACTCTGATTTTCATACATTCTGCCTTCTGAACCTTTGGAGAATATAACTTCAATTTCGGTTCCTGGCTGAAATGACAAAACCATACTAGTATATATTTTTTAATATTTAAAATATTTCAATCATTAAAAAAGGTATTTTAAAATTAAAAAGTTTTTAAAAATGAAGACTCGCACTATGTATGCAATGTTCACATTTTGCTGTTCAAAGCAAAATTGTCTAATTCAGAAAGTTTCAAAGATTATCACAGTAATATGTTTAGATAATCCTTTAAAAACTACAATAACCATCTGTTATAAATCCCAAAAAAGAAAGTCTAATGATTTTTTTAAAAAGGGGGTTTCAAATAAGAATTACTATCATTTTAAATCCAGATTTTCATTTGAAAAGGACAGAAAAACAGAACTGTCAAAATGGGCATTATACTACTTAACATTCGTTTCTAACATCAAAATATCAGTAAGAGACTAAATTGTAATTCAAAAGAGAATGTTATGAAGCAATTAAAAACAATGTATCTCTGTATTCTTGACACGGAAAGTCACTTAATAAGTGAAAAACAGTAAGTCACAAGATAACATGCATACAATGATTTTAGTATTTAAATTTACTTAAGTATGCACACATGCATGCATGGAGATATATCTGATACCCAAAAGGTTTTCAGTGGTTATCTCAGTATGGTGAGATTTGGGGTGGTTATATCATTTTGTACCGATTAAAAATTTTCACAATGAATAGTTTCATTAGTTAGGAAAAAATAAATCTACATTCATTTTTTTAAAACTTCAGAATGGTAAATCTGAAACAAAATCAGATACATTCTGTATTGACTGAGTAGAATGTCAGATGTCTATACTTTAAGCCAAGTCTGAGCTATCATTTGATATTTTAATATACATTAAAAGGCTTGATTTAATTACATAACAATAACTCACCTCAGTCAGGAATTTCTTTTTAGTTTCATCTTTTTGTAGTATTGTTCTTTCTTTCTTAATTATACCTTTGGTTTCACCTTTTTCTACAATTTGCCTCTGTCCAGCCTTTCTAATATTTGGTCTGGGTCTCTGAAGTCGTCCCCTTACTGGTCGAGCAGTCTGGATAACACTTTCCTTCATTTCTTGTTGAAAAGTGTGTACATTAGGAGTCCTAAAAGGGGGGACAGGAAAAAAAGAGTTCAGGAAGCTTAACTGTAAGATGAAAACTACTGTAAAAATACAAAATTTGAATCTCTTCTCATAAACTCTCCATACAAATATTTTATACCATTAAAGGAAAATTAAATTACTTTCTGATTATAAATTTATCTTGTTTTATAAAACAACATAGGTATTTCGATTCTTAAAAGGTAATGAACTTATATGAGGTACCCAAAATATCCAAATTCATAGAAAGAAAATTCCAACTGTGGATGCCAGATACTGAAGAGGGGAATAGGGAGTTATTGTTTAATGGTACAGAGTTTCAGTTTGGGGAGATAAAAAATTCTAGAGATGGACGGTGGTGATGGATACACAACAATGTGAATGTACTTAATGCCACTGGACTGTACACTTAAAAAAGGTTTAAAATGGTAAATTATATGTTATATGCATTTTACAATTTTTAAAAAGGCAAATAATATATATCTCATATATATATATAATATATATTTTAAATGCACTGCTTGAGTAAGAGCTTAAGAAGCAAACAGTGAATATAAGCAAGCAAGCATTAAAAAGTGTTGAATGCAATCTGGTTTTCAATTTTAAGCAGTCTGCCATATGAATAAAAATAAACCAAATACAGTATTATTTATATTCACCTTTAAAATATATTACCACATCTTAATAAGAATGAAAAATATTTGAAAGAACTCTTTCTTATTTTATAATATTCAAAGGACTATCACTATTTACCCCATAGAAACAACTAATTCTTTTTCTTGGATTTGTGTAGACTGAGACTCCTCTTTAGATTCACAAGAACTTGAAGGTGAAAGATCCTTTTCAGTCTGTACACATGATAATATCACAGCCTCCTTCTGCCTGTGCCCAGATTTGTCTTCTTCTCTTGATGTCATTAGGGAAGCCACCGCACTCTAGAAAATAGATAAAAAAATTTCATTGATGGTTGATAAAAGCATAAGGCAATAGGAATTTTCATATACTACTATAAGCATAAATGAGTATAGTTTGTAGGGGACAATAGGACAGATTTATTAAAATTTTTAATTCCCAGCAATTCTACTTCTAGAAATGTATCATAAAAATACTCCATAAGTATCTAGAAAATTATATACAATACTATTTATCATAGCAATACTACTGCCTCCCAAAAAAAAAGCAAGAAAAAGAAAAAACAAAAAGTTGGAAACAAGACAAATAAATTATAATTTCCTTATAATGCAACAGTACAAAGCCAAGATAAATTTATATATACTGATCCAAAAAGATGTTCGCAATATTGTGTTAAGTGAAAAAATGAGAAGGCAAGATATAATGTCATTTTTGTAAAAGAATGTAAATAACTTCACATTATAATTTATATAAATAGATATCTATACAGGCAAATCTAGGTGGATATATTCAAAACTGCTCCATGATTAACTTGGAAGGGAGATATGGGACCTTATAAAGGATTTTCACTTTTTAGATTATATAATTTTTCTAATTCAAAAATTTTATAATCAGAAAAAATAATCAATAAAATGTGATTTACCTTTCTTAAATATAAGATTAGAAGAAAAAAGTACAACCATTCAAGCACAATAAGAACTCAGATTTTTTAAGATGTAAAATAAAATTTTTAATTCAAAAAAGTATATGTTTAGAACACTCAATTTATGAGTCTTATTAGTGTTAACATTTTATTTCAACACTTTTGATGCTACATCACATTATCTTAATCTGTTATGGACCAAGTAAATAAAATATTCCTTTAACTCATATAAAACTTTTTATTTCATCTTCAGAAGAGTGAAATAAAAAAGATTATCATTCTCATTTTTCCTATAAAGTAACTGCCTGCATCATTTGGCTATGGTCACATAGCAAATAAACTAGAACCCAGGCCTCTTAAATTCCTTCCCATGACACACTTGCCCATCAAGAGAGATGTGAGATTCTTACACAAACCACATGGAACAATGAGGCACATTAAGTACAGCTACAACAATATCACATGCAATAAAAATTATATGAAGAAATATTTGTGAAATATTAATTCTAGGTATTTAAGTAAAAATAATAACTAAAATAAAAAACTTCCATTTTAAATATCACTCACATGCTGAGAAGGGAGAGTATTCATTTGTTCATCATCCTGTTGTATCACAATAGTCTCTGTTTTATCCATTTCCAATTTCTTCCCAGGTACATATTTTTCTGCTTCCACAGTCTCTCTCTTTAAAGCTGCTCTTGATAAGTTTGGCTTTGGTCTTTTTAATCGACTTCTCACAAAAGGTGCTGGCTTAACTTCAAATGGCTTCTGTTCTTGAGGAAGACATCTGCTTTTGGAACAAGGATTATCAAGCTTTAGAATGAACTGAAGGGGCAGTGAGAGCAGAGTCTTGTGACAACCTTAGAGATTAGCAGTAAACATTTAATTCTAATTGTTAACAGGAAAACAAATCAGGCTACTTGGTAGATCCTGAAAAACATGAGTAGTACAATCCAGATATAAGCCTAGAAATTATATCATCTTTGCACAAAGAAAGCACCGGTTTGTCACACCCGTATCAACTTAGGAGTTTGTGTTACATACAATTCTGTATGTTAGTAGCTTTCACGATCAACTGTCAGAATGACCTCCATCCTCTCTCCCAGTCTTCTCAAAACTAGCTTAAAATCTCTAACATTATGCTATTGATATGGTGTCTTAAAACCTCACTTAATTTAACATAATCTGTAAATATAACTTCATGCTCCTTTTCTTTAAAAGCACACAGACCTATATACTTGTACCTTAAATTCACATCTGAAAACTGCTCTGGAACATCTGGAGATCGTGTCCCCTGGTCTTCTGTTTTATCATGTTCAGAAGTCTTCAAACGACTCAACTGACCTGATACTTCCTTTTCAGAATTTCTTTTTTCTTCTACAAATGTATGCACCATGGAAAGTCCTTCACTGCTAATGTTCTGGAAGAATAGTCACAGTAAATCAGCACATATATGAGATTCCTTAAGCATTTTATGCACTGCAAACAAAATCTACTACATTCTAAACACGTTTCCTTAAAAATCTGGAAGTTTTAATTTTTAAATAAAATAAAATTTAATTTTAAACATTAAAACACAAAATTCAAGAAACTTTTTATATTGTATAATTTTTCCAAACCACAAATGCCATTATCACCTTTCCAAAGAAAAAAAAATTAGAATAAAAGTCTTTGAAAATGTTAGAATAGAATGAACTTCAAGTAACTGAAAATTTTTAATACAAAGAACTTTTAAAAGTGGAGTAAAATGGGGTGGGGCAGGAAAAAAAGAAAAACTGGTAGACGTGGTCAAAAAAATAATACCAATATATATTCATACTAGAGCAAGCACAAATCAGTTCAATTTCCTATATTCCCTTTATCTAACAAAGTAACTTCAAATTGGTAATAAGAATAGTAACTTTTCCACGATAAAAAAATAAATTTTAATTTTTTTTTTTTTTTAAATATATAGTTTCTTTAAGGTCCATAGAATTTAGGGCTGGGAAAAAATTTAGGCTTTACAAGTTTTAAAAACCGTTGGACTTAAGGACAATAATCATGGAATTATTCTGATAATGTTTCTCTGAAGGAGTATTCAAAAAAATTTTTAAAGGACAGAAAAATACATACTTTAGCATTTAGTGAAGGCATAGTGCTGCAGTCGCCACTACTGCTCTGCATTAAATCTGTCATAGTTTGTCTTGAGGTCTCTGTCTCCTTTGGTTCATTTTCCCTTAGAGAAATGTCATGTTTTCCGGTGTTCTTCAAATCTGCTACCATTTTCTCCGTAACATTCATCTCTTCTGATCCACTTTTCAAGGAAATTTTTCTTCCAGTTTCTTTCAAATCTGCCTTTGTTTCCTCAATGACTGTCATCTTTCCTGATACCTTTTCCATCAGGGAAATGTCTCTTTTCCCAATTTCTTTCAAATTAATCTCACTTTCTCCCATGGCACAGATCTCCACTAGTACTTTTTCCCTTAGAGAAATTTCTTTTTCAATTTTTTTCAAATCTGTCTCTGTTTTACTTATAGTTTTAACCTCTGGGGCCTTTTCTTGTGTGGATATTTTTCTTCTTTCGGTTTCTTCCAAATTTGCCTCTCTTTCTTCAGTAATATCAGTCACCTCTGTTATCTTTTCCCTTGTAGAAACTTCCCTTCCAGTTTCTTTCAAACCTAGCTCCAAGTCTCCTACGATGTTGACTCCCACTGAAGCATTTTTCTGTAGGGATATTTCTCTTCTGGTTTCTTCCAAATTTGTCTCTCTTTCCTCAGTAGCATCAGTCACCTCTGGTAATTTCTCCCTTGGAGAAACCTCCCTTCCAGTTTCTTTCAAACCTAGCTCCAAGTCTCCTACGGTGTTGACCTCCTCTGGGGCATTTTTTTGTAGGGATATTTCTCTTCTGGTTTCTTCCAAATCTGTTTCTCTTTCCTCGGTGGCATTAGTCACCTGTGATATCTTCTCCCTTGGGGAAATCCCCCTTCTAGTTTCCTTCAAATCTATCTCTAAGTCACTTACAGTGTTGACCTCTTCTGGGGCATTGTTTTGTAGGGATATTTCTTTTCTTCTGGTTTCTTCCAAATATGCCTCTCTTTCCTCAGTGGCATTAGACATCTCTAATATCTTCTCCCTTGGGGAAATCTCTCTTCCAGTTTCCTTCAAATCTGTCTCCATTTCCACAGTGACGTCGATCATTTCTAGTACCTTCTCTTTAGGAGAGATGTCTCTTCTTCCTGTTTCTTTTAACTCTGACACCATTTCCTTAGTATTAGCCTCCACTAGTACCTTCTCCTTTGGTGAGGATTCCAGTCTTGCTGCTGTCTCTTCCCCAGAGGCAAGAATCTCCTCTGGTATGTCTTCATTTGAAAAAATGTCTTTTCTTCCAGGTTCTCTTCCTATATTTGGCTTTAGTTTCTGAAATTGATTCTTTAGAACTGGAACTTGTTTATCTGTTTTATTATCCTTTTGAATACTATATATAAAAAAAAAAAAGACAAATTTTAAACCAGACTGCTAGTTAGAGATGATTGGGCAATCACTCGTAAAACACGAGAAACAAACAAACAAACAAACAAATTAAGGGTGCCCCGGGAATATCAGGGCAAAATTTAAAAATTAAAAGAGAGAAAAAAATTTTCATCTTTTGAAATTATGGTAAAATTTTAAAACAATTAAATATATCTATTTATATAGAGACATGTTTAAAGAGAAACTCATCAGTAAGGTCATTAGAGCAGCCGCCAACTGATCCTGAATAGTTTCTTCCTAATTGTCATCTACACCATCCTCGCCAAATAATGGCTGAGAAAGACTCTAGTCCTTTACACTGGAGCTATCTCAATTTGTGTATACTATTTCTACACTCTGTCCCTATTATCCTTTACACAGACATATATACCTTGTCATAAGAGTTAACGAACTCATTTATATGGCCAGGCTTGACTGGCATCTTAAACAGCTGGATGGAGGCATGATCTGAATAAGATAGAGCCTTATGACTAAGAACTAGGTCCATGCCTCCTCGCTTTTTGAAAACAATTAAAAATGAGATTTCCTATCTAGACAGAAATTCTAAGAGCTGTGATTTCATAATACAAATTGGGAATAAAAGGAAAGATTAAATAAACAGTATTTCACAGTTTGCTGAATGTTATTAGGCACACAACAATCACATCATTCTCCAGAAAAACAGCAGCACCTCGGTTTGTGTTTTATCACAGAACAAGATGGCAAAATCGATAAAAATACACAAGTGAATGAAAGAGCTATTAGTAATTGGTTAAGAATGGTCATTAATCTCAGGCAAAAGCTAGATCAAATGAAACACTTGATTTATTCAGCAATATTAGTCTAAACAAGTGTATACACTTAATAGCTTAAAAAAAAAAAGATCAAAAACTATGCTATTGTTTGTTTGAACTTGTCTAGGTCCTAATTTATCTTTCTTCATTGAAACAAGTTTTTCATAATGCAATTTTTGATAACACAAGACAGGTCCTTAGTAACAAGACTGCTTTTCAAATTGTACTTGTTTACATAACTGAGGTGTTTTATACCTATCAGTAATTGATAACGTTCAATGCAAAATCAACAAAGGAAATTTAATTTGATTAGTCCTCAGTGGATTTCATTCTGTTTTCTGACTTATGATACTTTTCATTTCTACCCCAAAATATCTAGCTTTTAGTGAGGTTTCTGTGCTAGCAATATTGGTTTGGTTATCATGGGAAGTAAACCGTCTTTATAAAACCACGTTTTAAACACTAGCATATTCTTAAAACATACAAATGTTTTAATCAAAGCTTTTATTAATAATTTCGTTATTTCAATATCAATTGAGACCTTAAGATACAAATATGCAATGTTATAATTATATTCTATGTGCTTAGATTGTCTCTAAGTAACAAAAGGACTTTGACAAGTTTAACTTTTATGGAGAAATAATAAACACATTAAACTTTGAGTTCATGAAAAATCAATCAACAAATAGTTCAAATCACCTATTACATGTCAAGAAGGCATATGCTAGGAACTGGGAATACAATGAACAAGATAGACCTTTCATAGAGCTTATATCAGCTGCATAATTACCTGAAATTATCTGAGATTAGAAATCTAGTTCTAATTGAAGTAGATTATTTCTCAACTTAAAACATGTAATAGATCCGTAACTGTCTCTTCAGATCACAGAATTTAAGGAAAAAAGCAAAGAAAAAAAGATCACAATTGGAGAAGACAGGAGC